GCAGCACCACATCATCTGAAGATCTTGATCTGCCAATGTCCTCTCTTACATAGAATGAAATGTATGGTGTCTCCAGAGGCTCCAATATTTAGTGACATAACTATCGTCAAACTTAAACCAGTCGGTTTCGTCTTCGACCAGTGCGTAATGATGATCAGATTCAACGCCGGAACCACAATGAACAATGACTGCATAAAGATTATAGTAGTGGTCTGCTAGATTGAAGTGTTCACCTATTTCCAACCTTCGTAAGAGTTTGATGCTTCCGTCAGAGGTTGACTCATGTTTGAAGATCATCATCAGTGTTATTATTAGATTGACTGGTGCCTCAGCTATATTTCTTATCTTATAACAGTCAGTTAGTTTGGCGCAAATTTGACGATACAGTTGATCATCACCCGTTAAAATTTCTATTTGTGTAATTTATTACGGACGAATTGTGAACGTTTTTTTCACATACATGTTTGTAATGAAAAGAGAAATGAAAATTTCTATGTTTTTTACCACTTTTATTTTTGTAATGTAATTGACATGTTCTACACCTAACAGGGTCTTTGGATGAAATAAATGAGATTCGTTTTACGCCATTGGTTCCAATTCTACAGTTCAATAAATTCTTTCAGTTTTATCAGTAGCCATTTGCTTATTACACCTTAAGAACAGTTTTTAAAAGTGGTTTTTATCTGTATCAGTTAACCAAATTTTAGACATTGTTGAAAGATATTGCAGTGTAATTTCCAATAAATTGTATAGTACCCTTGCCGAATGATTTTTCGTTGCTAAAAATGTCCGACTTTCATTCTCTAAGTCGTCAGAGAAACTATCACAAATCACCAATCTGAATTTACTAACGCACTAAATAGACAACCAACGTTTCTGCAATCCAGTTTTCAATCAAATGCAAAAATTTACAGAACATTCGAATGTACCAACTGCTAACTGTAATCACTTATCCAGCTACACGGTATAATTATTTAATAATTGGAATAGGTAGTCGGTCAGAAGATGTTATGAAAATAAGATTATTTACAGTTTATATACTGATTGTTACTACATTGCAAATAAACTGATTTGTTTTCCCAACTGTTGAAACAAATGAAGTTTCTTCTTCTTTTACAACTATTAAATTGCAATGTAGATTTAATTTCAGAGTAAATTAGTGAATTAAAGATAGTGATGAATCTGTAAAAGCTTATATGAGTGTTAAAAGTAAGTTTTTATTTTGTGAGTGAAAAAGTTTGCGAAACGAGCGTAGTGAGTTGATCAATTTCACGAACAAAATAAAACTTACTTTCAACACAATTATTATACAACGGTCCTGTTCTCATAATAAACAAGATAAATTTAATATTTCTTTAAAAACTGCACGAGCAGCTGATGAACTTGGGATAGTTTTCGACACTGAACTGAAACAGGTTGCAACTCTGTCACCGAGTTGGAACCTGTTCAGCAAAAAGCTCAGATAAAAGCCGCGGTGATCACCTTACTTCTGCGGAATTACAAGGAAAAGCCACTGCATGGGGTCTTCTTCAATAACATTGGAGACCTTGGCTTATCAAAGCGCCTGACCTTCGCTTTTCTCAGGTCGAGTGGGCTGAAGTCGGAAACTGAGGGGTTCATCATGGCTTGCCAGGATGGTGTCTTCGACACCTTAGTCTACCGCAGTCGCGTGATGGGTATAGAGGTTCCTGACACAAGGTGCAGGACCTGCCGCGAGGCGCCCGAGACCCTAATGCACTTGCTATTAGCATGTCCAGTATATGCGGTCTCGGCCTATATCCATCAACATAACGCGGCCCTAAGAGTGCTATATTATCATCTACGGCACTCTTACGGTATTGACGAGACACCAGTGTTCCCTACGCTCCGGAGGATATTGAATCCGTTGTGAGGAACGAGAAGTGCCGAATTTATTGGAACTATTCGTTCCTCACCCTCAGGCTCATACAAGCTAATAAGCCTGATGTAGTCCTTCTCGACCACCAGACCAAAACGATATTTGTCGTGGAGTTTTCAGCTCCTGGCTCACTTACCCTACGGTGTGGGGAGTGGTCATTGGTTGATAATGCTGGCGTGCCCTCCCGAATGTATCGGGGCTTCGGGGGATAGGGGCTGACCAGCGCACACTACGGTGAAAAAAAATAATAATGTATATAATACATTTGTAACATAATTTAATTGTATCCATATCTATTGTTCATAATAAAACATCCTTGAAAATTATGTTTTGTTTATTGCTATTTGGTCTGAAAAAAAAAACGTATTTAAAAAAAGTTTTAAAACTCTAGTGTTAAAAATATTTTCAACGCGCTACTTTGTAAACATCATCTTTTAATACTCTTGACAACCATTGAGGGTATTTTGGGCAACATGAAATTACAAAAAAATAATATAGTATCGTGTTGTGTTTAACTGAACTAAAACTAATTTAAATATGCAACTTTGTCATGAGAAACACAGTGCTTTCTGAAAATAAAGGGTGAATTCTATAGAATCGTTGACAAATTATTTGGGAAAAATGCTCGGACAAGATGATTTCAGTTTTTAAATTGACTTTTGGGGCGTTTGCTATTTCAGCTGCAGGAAAACCCTCGAGAGTAGAAAATTTTATGGCCTAAAGGCAATTTTTAATTGAAATTCGACCTTTTCGAATATTTTCTGCAATATTTATGTCAACTCATTACTAAGTAATCCAATAACTAGGTTGATCTTGCTGAGAATTCCTTCTAGGAATTGCACGTTAAAAGGTAAGACCTTGTTATTGGTTAGCGATTTTCGACATTCAAAGGCTTGTATGGAAATGGTTGGTCATTGGAAAAACTCCATGCTGCCAATTTTCTGAATATTGGTTAGAACACTTCTATAAAACAAGATCGCAGGCCGAGTTGGAACCGCGGTATGGAGCCGACTTGGCTCCATACCGTGGAGGTTAAACCCATGATAACATATGCATCTATGGGATGAAACAAAGTACAACTATTAACTAACTGCATTGAATATTCCTCTTTTACATCTTGTAATGATTGGGGAAGCAGAACTGGGCCAATTCAGACTGAAAATTCACCGATCTACATAAACATAAAATTCGGAATAGTCGTATGTGACGGGCCAAAAACCAAATATGGAACGGGATATACTGTGCAGAAAAAATCTTCATTTCAGTTACCCGATCGGTCAATACAAATCTGTATTCCAGGCTGAAGTGTACGCAATCTCACAATACGCAAGGAACAATCATTCGAGGCCTCACAGACAGCCAGACTGCACTTGGAGCACTGATGAACCCAAAAGTTACATCAAGACTGGTCTGGTAATGCCGTGAGGAACTGAGGAAACTGGCGAAAAGGAATAGGATTGGGTGCCAGGAAACTCAGGTATCATGAGCAACGAAAAAGCTGACGAGTGTGGCAGACACGGATATGAGGGTGGTTTGAAAAGTTCCAGCAGTTGTATCGCCAACAGCATATGCAGGAATTACTTCTGTGAAGAATCCTGCACTGACACCTGTCGAATATAATTCAACGCCCTTCGTGGTATTAGCTAGGGGAATAGTTGTTTTCTGATAAGTGTCAGCCCATAAACCTACTGTGTGAGTAAGATAAGACGGGCCTGAACGGAATGTTCCTTTACATAATTTGATTCAAAGCCAGTTTACAAGTATGTCCACGTACTATAGGAATAAAACAATTTATAGACAACTCAAATTGTGTCCAGAGGAATATGACATACGTCCAACACAAGACCTCTACAGACTAGTACAGAGAACAAAATTGTTGAAATGGCAGTCAAGAAAGAAGTCGGGGTAAAAACGGAACCAGCCCTCGACGCTGCAGACTTGGAAGAAATCGACAAGTCAGATGGCTCCAAGCAAGCGACAAAAAAGTAGTGGTGATGGCATCTTCACACAAGAAGACGCTATATATGGAATTGGCAGAAAGCTCAAACCACGAAAATCAATGATAAACGAGGCTCCCATAGGAAACCATTGCAAAACCAAGCATAGTCATCTAAAGCCGAACGAGTTCTTGTTTCAACTGGTTACCTTGCTGCAGAGAAAGACATAGGTCCAATTTGTTTTGCCGCTCAATAGGCCTTTTCATTGATGATGTTACCAAGGATACTTATATTTGCTCACTACATTTCATTGGAGAAAGTGGTCCAACTGAACAAAACCCTGATCCTTTAAGCTCTTAGGAATTCCAACAAACGTACATTATTCCTTATTGCATTTTTGACTGAAAATTTCATATATATTATGTTGTATTAAATATTTCTCTCTAATAAAAATTACTAAACATATTCAATTCAGTATTTACATATTTGTCTAATTAATAATGGCATATGTACAGCCTCAAAATATTAATGGCTTGATTTATTTATTAGTTCCATAAGTACTACTCTTGTTAACTGAAATATATTTTCAATTACACCAAATAAATTGACATTATTTTTTTCCTTTTTGCGGACGCCCATGAAGTTTTAACCACCTTTTTAATTGTTCACAATTATGAGCCTCAACTGAATTATAAAAAAGTGAAGCACCTTCAATGGTGTTTTCCAATAATTTATTTGTTTGTAGAGATAATATTCCTTAACCAGCCATTGTTGATTAAAACAGTACGAATGTTTTGAATTACCGCCATTTCAATATGACAGCTACGCTTGCGCTCGTCTTATGATGAAAAGGCCTATACGAAAGCTTTGAGTTTTCTGTAGCTCTCATAGATGGCGTGTTCTTAAGGGTAGATGTCATTACCTTTTCCTATTGTCATTATATCCGAACTCCAACAAAGTTTCTTCGACTAGTAACAGGAACCAGATTTCAAAAATAAATTATAAAAGGTAACAATGAATATCTAAGAAACTACACTAACACTTTTGCTAGAAACATAACTTGCTCGCTGGCTAAGTTCTTTGTAGCTACCTACTTGCACTTTCAAGAAGACTTATTATTATGGCGGTAATAAAAATGAGACAAGATGAGAGTACAAGAGACTTACCTTAACTGCATCGTAGATCCCGTCGTGATGGGTTCGTGTTTTAGTTTCTAAAGGCCTCTCTCCCCTATAAAAAAATCAAATCATTATCAGAAAACCATCGACACTGAAACTTTACATGTATAATAATTATAATAAATTCATATCTGCTCTCAGTATGACCCTGAGACCTCCAGGCCGGTTGTGATATCTACAAATAACGTTATAATGATATAATAACTATGACTTACCTGTGTAAGTCGGCGAGCCCATTTCCATTGATGGTTGACTTCGATGGTTGTGAGCCTCTATCTACCACTGAGCTGGCACTGTATGGTTTGTTCAGACTTTGTTTACTGCAAAAACAAATTCAAGAAAATATGTCAATAAAACTAATTTACAAATCTAATTCCACCTAATGGGAAAAGAGTTATTCTTTTCCTACTAGTTTTTTTAGGAGAATTTCTAACAACGCATGTTAAACAACCCATGTTAATGCTTGTCTAAATACCATTTTCGTACCAGTGTGAAGGCAGCTATGGGTTTCGGCCACGAATTGGGGGAATTTACCATTAACGAAAAGGAATGCGCCACCATTTGTCGTTAAAATTCATAGCTGGCCATGAAAAGTTGTCTTTTACAATAATAATTTCATGGCCAGCCATGAAAGGATAGTTTTCAACGTTTTCAATAATACCTTCACAGTCCTCGGTTTTGTCGCAGAAAAATACACCTCCTGCAACCCCTTTCATCATGTTGAATAAAAAAAATAAATAAAAAAAAGTGGTAATGGAAGAGGTTGCAGGGTGTGTATTTTTCCGCAAGAAAATCGAGGACCCTAAAGGTACAGAATACGCCGAATATCTTCGTTTCATGTGAAATTATTCCCAGCAGCAAATTTTTTTCAAAAATTATGATTTTTTTATCAAAATGATGGAAGGGGTTGTACTTTTGATGCACTGTTTGGAACCTTTGGTGTGGTAACTAATATTACTGGAGTTTCTTCCCAACATCAAAACGTTATTTCAACACCTCGACACGTGTTTTGATCACCAAGTGATCATCTTCAATTTGATCTTCTTCTTGAAGATGATCACTTGGTGTTGAAATAACGGTTCGGTGTTGGGAGAAAACTCCAGTAATATTAATTTCTCTTGTGTTCAGAGGCGGGGGTACCTACTCTTCATTTCGTGGTTCCAATCTAGACCTACCCGCAGCTACAAGGAATCTGGTATATCCCGGGTGTTGGTAAAGGTTCTCTGAGGTCCTTAGCTAACCTAATACTTAGTCTGTTAGTTTCTGTTAACCTACATATTGGTTCCACGTCGTGTTTTTCTAAGATTCTCCCAATCGAAAAAGGAAAGCTTTTCCCTTGACCAGCCTATCTGGGGTTACTTTGGTGTTCTCTCTCCTGGGTCGTATGGCCTGCTCGAATTCTCCGTCGCTGTACCCATTCCCTTTCAAGGCATTTTTGACTCGGGGCCCAGAAGACAAGACGCCAAAGTAACCCCAGCTATCCGGTTACAGACCGGATAGGGAGAATCTCAATAAAATACGCAAGAAACCAATATTAAGGCCAACAAAAACTATCAGGCAAAGTCTAAGGTCAGCTGAGTACTCCAGACCACCTGCAGCAACACCAGGGGTTAACCGGATTCCTTGTAGCTGCGGGTCGGTCTGAATTGGAACCACGAAAAGAAGTGTAGGTACCCGTATTTCTGAACACAAGAGAAATTGTCGACTCGGAAGAATCAACATATCAGCAGTAGCCGAACATGATATCAACAAAGAAGACACAGTATCTCATTCGAAGATACAGTAATACTCCATAAAACTAAAAATTAACATCCAAGAGTGTATAGAGAGGCAATAGAAATTCAAAAACACAGGGATAATTTCAACAAAGAGAAGAGCAATGAACATTAATGGGATCTGGCTACAATTCCTTAGAGATACACAAACAAGGTCACGTAATCCAGTAATCCAATAAAGATAAACCAGTCAACGCCACTAACAATAATATAAAACAAAAGGCAGATATCATTAGCCTCGTAGTTACAGCGTTACACATCGCCTTTGATTCTGCCTACCGCAGTAGTAAACGAAACGTCAGACATAAAACTATAGACCACGGCCAGAAAACCCGGGAAATAGGTACCTCTGTCATTTCTTGGCGAATTCCTTCAATATTGGGCAAAAATTATTGGATGCGGAAGTGAAAGATATGGGGTGAAGAGATAAACAGTTTCACGAAACTTAGATCAATAGGGAAAAACAGAAGATCGTTGCGTTCAAGGGGTGATGAGGTTGAAGAACATTACTGAAGAAAATAAAATTATTATCAATTCGGATCCTGTTCTTCATAAGATTAAAAAAAGGTGATGTACAGCTTGAAGCAGGTGATGTATTTGAATAAAATCGAGAGACAATAGAGGATTTGTGAAGGAGGCGATAATGAAAGATAGTTTTATAATAAATAGCAGCCTTCAAGTTTTTCCTTAGGTCTATATCAAGTCTATTATATATTTATATCAACATTGTTGCTATAATTGTCATTTCAAATTGCTGCCAAAAGGGTACTGATATAATATGAATGAATGAAATACGTCATTCGGGTTACGTAAGCCGATACGGTTTCCTTGCTCGAAGATACATCGAATCCATTCGTTATAGAATAGCTCCTTCTCCCCCCCCCCCTCGAGGCTCTTACAAACTAATTAGCCTGATGTAGTCCTTCTCAAAACGATATTTGTCGTGGAGTTTTCAGCTCCTGGCGAGACAAATATCGTCAGAAAAGAGGAGGAAAAACGGATAAAATATCGAGATTTTCTCTTAGAACTCCGCAAACTCTATCCAGATCACTCTGTCAAGATGGTTGTTCTGATTATTGGAATCCTTGGTGGAATGATGCCCACTCTACTCTCGAATCTTAAAAGCATACCGGCTTGCCGCACTAAGGCAGAAATCTTAGCCGGACAGATGCAGAAGGCTGTCATTCTTGGCTCATAGCGCTTGCGCTTGCTCAGGGCACATGATTATCGGGCCCGATGACTGGTCGCCAGATATTTCTTCGGCGCCATCTTCCCAGGGTCGCCCAGGGTGATCCTTGCAAGATTGCATCCTTTGATTTCATCCCATCTCTTGAGAGATTGAGCATGAGTGTAACGTTTGGCTCGTTCCGCAATTGTCGATTTCATCAGGCCGTAGGTGATACTGGGTCCCAAAAATTCTTAGTCCAGCCGCTTCCTTGGCTGAAGAGTCGGCAATGCGATTAGCTTTACTCCTGTCGTCAGGATAATGTTATTATCTACCGAGGCTTTGGCTAAATATTTGTGGCACTCTAGTACTAACCCTGAGGTAACGCGTTGTCTGTTCAAGGCTAATAGGGCTTGTCTGCTATCAGTGCAGATTGTTATGTTTTTGCCAGAAATTCTTTTCTTTGTTATTTCTTTTGTGGCGATTGAGATACCAGCCAGTTCTGTTTGGACCACACTGGTATTTTTTCCTATTCCTCACTTAATCCTTAGGCTTAGTGATCTGGAGTACACTCCACATCCTGAGCCTTCTTTGATTTTTGAGCTGTCAGTATATATGCGTATTGCATTTGTAGCATCTGACTCAAGTGTTCTGTTTTATTTGTATTTTGTAGGGTTTATTAAACACAAACCTCGGTTCAATTCTTAAAAGCGTGTACCACTTATAAACATTTTTCTGGCTCAGAGTACAATCACCGTATGCCTCTGGCAACATTTCAAGTGTTTTTTTGGGAACATTCTTCCATTTTTTATACAAAATTTGATGTAAATTCTTTGATCCACTTTTTTCGATAGCAGGAAATCGCCGAACATGCAAAACACTACTAACTTTCATGGCTCTCACCAACAAACTAAACATGCTAAATAGCTGAAATTGTAAACATATGTTCCATACGAATGTACCAATATAAAAAAATCGCTAATCGAATGTATGCAGCCCGCGAAATTTGAACATTCACCTTATTTTTTGACCTGTCAAGTATACTAGCACTCATAAAAATAATTACATAAATAATAAATAACGCGAGGCAAAATAACATAAACTTTCTGTTTATTTTTTTTGTTATAACTTAAAAGGTGGCCTTTATAAATTCTACAGTTTTTCATGTTTGTAGTCCAGAAGTCAACGTGAAAAATATTTCAAAATTCAATCCATGGAAGGAAATAATGATTTTATTCGAAAGCAACTGACTAAATTTGACATGCGCTACTGGATATGCTCGGTTACTGAAAACTTAATTGGACATAAAACATGGTAATACTCTTAGGACTAACGACAAAACATACTGTATCAATTACCGTTTTGCAAAGATGAATTATTTATTTGACAGTGCTTGCATTCTTGTGGAAATTTTCCATATTCAATACGAACTTTATTTACAAAACATTAATTAATAGTATAATATTCTGAAGTGACTTTTCAACAATTAATTAAAAGAACACGGCCAGTAATCTCTAAAATCTCATTGAAATATTATTTTATTCACTTTCAAAACTGGCCTAGATGCAGATATCTATTACAACTTGATTGCTAGAAAAGAGGAACATCACATTCACCTATTAGTTGACAAAATTATATAACCGGATTAGAAATTCTGTGATACAGCACTTTGTGTTTCCTAATTGTTATGCAGGGAATCTGAGGCGATTGTCTGTAATGATAACAATCTTTATATAAAAATATGAGATTAAAGTAATTGAAGCAATGCCAAGCTTGTGCTGGAAGATGAAATACAATAGAGGAAAAAGTAATAGTATTTTGCAACTCGGTATCGGCACTAATAATAATGAATAACAGTCACTTTCGGGTCAAAAACCCCCCTGTGAAGTTAAGATACAAGAAGAGCATTAAGTAAATTCAACGGCTATATGATATAAAAGTTTTACCAATTCATCAACAAATTACAACACAAAATTTATCACTTAGGTAGACATTTTTAGAAACGTTTTAAAATAACTACGAGTATTTATGATATGAGTGTTAAAAGTAAGGTTTTATTATGTGAGTAAAAAATAACAAAATAAAACTTGTGAAGTGGCCGTGTCAGGTGAGGCCGAATCACTTGGTTACCAACAAACAGAATTGTTTACAGCTCACGCGTTTTATTTTAAAGTCCCATTTAAAGTTCTTGCCGGTGTTTAATGTCTTGCATAATGAAGAACAATAGTGACGATATTGAAGAGGCTGCAAAAAGAGCTTCAATGGGGAATGTTCCTCAATTTGGATTATACAGCAAACGCAAGTTTGAACAAAATAAAGTTGAGTTTAATTCATGAGTTTTTCAAATTCACTTCGGAAAGTATTCAAATTGATGTTTCAA